CAAAGGGGAGGAGACCAGTGCAGGTTCGCCTCAACATTCTCTTAGCCGATCTGTATACCGTTAGCTTAAGGCACTCTTTATACGGCTGTGAGCTGAATCTCGATACCTATGTCTTTACAGTCTCAACAGGCGTCTCGGCACTATTTTCCATCTCGGCTCTCTCCCTCCTCCTTCACGCGCCCTCAGCGATTACTCGCTGCGTGGATGCATCGTATACAGTTATCGTTTACAGATTTTTGCGCAATGTGTACACAGGCCCATTCTCACTGACCACCCGAAGTGACAGCGAGCTTCGCATACCCGAGATGCATCGGTATTGAGGCTCATGGCGCCTTCACGCCGTCTCTCCACACTCCGGGCCGGTCGTTAAAAGTAATGGCGAACAGGCCGCCACTGTCTCCTCGAACGGTTACGGGAAGCAAGAGCCTGTCGTCACTCACCCTCGCATTTGGAAGGGTGGCAGCTTGGGCTAGTTGGTATGGCACGACGACAGTTATAGCGCGAGAACAAAACGACGACACAGAGACAAGAAAGACGTGTCCTTTTTGTCTCTGTGTCGTCGTTTTGTTCTCGCGCTATAACTATCGTCCCGCATTTGGGCCGCACGACCTTCAACCCGAGCTTGCATCCAGAAAGCAGTAGCAAGGTCATGTAACCGAGGCCGGGGAGTGCTGGCGCTCCTGAGATGATCCGCTCGAGGGAGAGCGTTTCTGTTTCAGAGATAAGCGCTCAGTCGAAGACAGTGTGGAGAGAGAGAGTCGGAAAAGCAGGTGTAAAACTTACTAGTGCCGCACTGCCTGCGCCGTGCTCCCAACCGGGCCGCAGAAATAGGTGCCTCCTTCCTCTTCTATATAACCACTACCACCACCTATTTCGCACGATTGATATACGAGCGGCACACGGCACCTGTAATGTCATTCGCTGCGAATGACGTTAGGCGTTGATTGTTGCTTCTACACGGTCACAGTGAATGACATTCACACCTAATGACATTCGCTCGTTGATTGTGTTCCCTGAACTCAAGAAGCGCGACATGTGAACTCTCGGTCAATGGGCGCTTGACAAGAGATTAGAAAATCGACATCCTAAAGCAAGTGTAAACGATGTTCAAATGTATATTAAAGGTTGTTGTTAACTATTCGGTGATTTTTGAACGAGCAACACTATAGTGAGAGCAATTGGTGCCGCTATATTATCTTTCCCAGACTCCGACTTGACGTTATAGCACCTCCTGTCAGCCATATGTTCATACACAATCGCTGTTGTTTTGGGGCAGCGTCGCCACGTTAGACTCGCTAGTAAATACGCACGCGGATGTTGGAGGAGTGTTTCAAACCAATTTGCATTTCTTGGGAAGCATCGCAGTTCTCTGTTATCCGCTGACGAAGTCGAAGTCCAAAGAGCAGCCAACGTAAACGAATTGGCGTGTATATAGGCACAGCTCCAAATCACTCGTGGTCTGTGATCTTTCGTCGATATCTATGGTTCCACTCGCACGCCAGTGCTTGGAACTCAGTAAATAAATAAAAAAAAACACCAAGGACGCAATGAGCTTCGAAGCCCAGGTCCGCCGCGTGCCAGCCCAGTATTTACCACTGAGGTACGCTAGTGGTTGGAACTCGTTTCTAAACTGGCCTTAGGTAGGCTTGGTGTCGGGAAAGGAATCAATTTAATATGAATAATAAAGCGTTTCAGAACATCAAATGAACAGCCAGGCGTCACATAATGCCAATTGCGTAACGACTGGGTTGTTCAATACTCCAACCCATTGAAATTTCTTGATCACCTTTTAACTGTGGTGCATACCCGATTCCTCCATATTTCTTCATCATCGTCAGCTACTGCATCTAAAATTGCACGAAATTTGCAACAAATGCGTAGCGCATACCACGTTTCTCTAAAGAATGACGGAGGATAACAAAGTGAATGGTAGCCGACTACACAAAATTTATGATTATTTATGGCGCAGTAGGTACCGAGCAGTGTGCTTGTGGCATCCCAAAGATTGTCTGAAAGACCGCTTTTCTATGTAGCTTTCGATGTGACTGTACGGCGAGTTGCGCGCAGGCCTGAACTTTGCTACTTCACACTATAGTTCAGGTCAACCATTCTGTGTTACGCGTGCACTTAGCGGACTTGTCAAGAAGCCGTACCTTAAAAGTACATGCTATCGTGAGGAGCAAACTTAATCTGCACATTGATACCACCCAGCACCATAAAATGGTCCCAGTAGGAATTGGTCGCAGTAGCAGCTGGTCCCAGCACTGGTGCCAATATAGCTACTGGTCCTAGCACCAACTCGGAATCAGCAGTTTCGCCATAGAGGCAAAGCAAGGAATGCGATAGCAACATATTCGAATGTTTTGCGAAGCAAGGCTAGCATTTTAGGAGCAATATTATTGTAGTAAACATGCGCTTGCTAAGTAATCAAGTTTCCTGTGCCGTGGCCACATTAGATGACCACAACAAGGCTCGTGCGTAGTGACGATGATGTTGATATATGAAGTGAGGCTGGCAGTCAACTCATTTAGATTCGATCTCGCGTAACTATGCTAAACGTGGGTCCAAGAGAACACGGCCGCTCCAAGTAGACTTTTGGCACCGTTTGTTCATGTTGAGAGTGAAATTCGTAGAAGCTTCCGCCTGCTGTGGAGGCACAAGGCGCGTGCTGATCTTTACCCCCCCCCCCCCCTGTCCTTGTTCGCTGGCGAGATGAGCACGCGCGCAGACGAGCCCGGCCGGAAAGGCGATGTTCGCTCTGCAGAAACAGGAGGCTAGAACGTTCTTCCTCGTATATATGTATGTATATACATACATATACATGCATAACCAGGCTTCAGCATCCTCAGTCCTGCTGTACGCCTTTCCACTGGTGGCCCTGACACCTGCCAGGAGACTGGACCTGGAGAGACATCACAGGAGAGCAGTGAGGGCCATCCTGGGGCTCCCCAGGTACTCCCCCGTGGCAGTGATCCTGGCCGAGGCTGGAGAGTGGCTCCTGTCCCTGAGCATGCTCCAGCGTGCTCTGGGGCACGTAGACCGCCTACACCGTGCTGCCGACGGCAGAACCCTCCTGGAGCGACTTCGCAGCCAGCCGAGGTCACGAACTGCGTGCAGACAGACGAGCGTACACAACTAACGTACGCTATTTGGAACTCCAAAACAGGGGGTAGCCACTAATGTACGCGCTACCGGTGTTGTTTACAAATTTCCGCAATCCTGTGGCAAGACAAATGTTGGCCCATAGCCTCATGCCTGTATGAAACTCTATGTGTTGGCCAGATTGGAAATCGCGTGAATGAGCGTGCACGGGAACACGCTCGAGCTGTCACTAAGAGGTAAAGATGGGGCTCATTTGCCGGCCCACTACAATTCCCACTAGTGTGAGCCGTATCTGCATAGAGTTGAGATTCTCAGAAGAAGGAGAGACACCACTGCTAGAGAACTGTCGGAAGCCTTTCATATAAAAACATGACGTGTATTATGCATTAGCGACACTTCATTGCTTTTATCGTAAGCAGAGAGCACGTTCCTGAACATATCAAACGTTGTGATTAAGATGTTATACTATCGTTGTGAGCCTGTCCTTTTTGCGCATGTCTATGCCTATACCCATCTGAAATTAGCCGACGGCCGATAGGGGGTGAACAAGTGGGCAGAGTTGGACAACCGCTATTGTCGGCCAAGCAATTGGTGGTACAAAGTGGGGCCTTTACTGGCAACCAATTTTGCTGGTTATTAGTTGGCCGCAGACGTTCAGCCAGCAGTCAGCAAATGATAGGACAATTGTTGACACCCAACGCCCGGGCCACCAAACGTGGTCCATTGTAGGGTCACGCTTCTCTAAGGACCAAGTCGAGTAACTACGGGCCAGCCACAAGCCGACATTGCACGACCTCTGTGAGTGCAATTTTCAACGAAAATTTCTTGTTTGAGCGTTCAGCGTTGGCTGTCACGAGATTGCACTAAATTATTTGCACAAGATTATTTAATCCACCTGTGTACCACCTGCCATGTATTACCACGCCTTGGGCCTGAGTTGGCAGACAAGTCAGTCAGTGTGAGGCCATTAACCAAAACCACCCTCGGCCCAACCTTGTTTACCAAGCTTGGGCCATGAAAGGCTATGTCAGCCATTCATGTTGGGCCAGCATAGAGCCGATGTCGTTTTGTCAGTGGGGTTTGTACCGCATTACACTAAACGTTATCTGTTCGATGCATGCCTTGCTTTCCACGCATGCCTTTGCATATATATAGTGCTGCAGTAATTTTGGCATAAACAGTGCGCTCCTCTTGAACCATTCTCACGTTATTATAATTTTTTTTTGCGCAAAATAGCCACAATCGCGTGACTTCTAAATAAACATGTACTGACTAACCCAACAACGTGTGCTTCTAGAGCGTAGCTAAAATGTTGGAGTTGCCTCCGCGCCCCGAAATTTTAAATTTGGATTGCGTATACATACACGTACATATACAAACGCACGCGCGAACATACATAAAGTATAAATACCCCCCCGCCCCCTTCCCCCCTGAAAAAAAAAAAAAAATTCTGACAACGCTACTGCTCCGAAATGTGTCTGAAAGACCAACCTGTGAATGACACTTTCGACTGTGCTTTGCATTCGTACTAACTGCTTTTACAGTGCTCGCCGAGGAGATAAATGAGAAGTAGAAATGGCGTCGTTTGATGAATTTCACAGCATTTGTATTGCGCGGCATCACGACATTGACTTCTTGAATGGACTTGCTAAACGACTTAGTTTGGATGAGTACGTACGTAGTAGCTTTTTACTCCTGATAGAGGAAGAAAAAGAAAGCGACAGGCTTTCCTAAGACAAATTCTCTCTAAAGTAGGTGCCGAAATTTCGTTCAACACTTTAGGCAAAACACTGGTTTGTCAGTCACGTTTGACGAAACACGGCTTCTGGCTAGCGTTTTTTGTTGCTGCTTTTGCAGCGGGGGCATGTCACTCACGAGAAAACCAACATGGCCGCTCTTTGAGAACCGTGCTCGCTGGAAGGAATGCGTGCGCGCTTCGCGTCATTCGCTGCGGGTGTGGTGTGAACGAGCCTGTTTGAGGCGCCGCAGCGGCAGCGCAAGCAGCACGGCACCAGCGGACCCTCGACATCGGGAGTCGCCAGGTGAGCGCGCGCCAGCCAGCTCAGCCCCGCAGGTGCCGCAGGTGCCCTGCTCGGGCTAAGCCTATACCGATCGAGCTCGCGGCACGCGAGGGCGAGCCGCTCGGCTTATCGTCGCCGCCTGCGGGAGTCCGGCGCGTGAGTTCGCGCCGCGATCCTAGCGCGCGAGACCGTGACGCGGCGCCGCTCGCGCCGGCATCCGCGAGCCGCGGCTGACAGCGCCCGGGGTCCGTGGGCAGAGCTGCCGAAGTCGCGTCCATGGACGGCCCCTGGTTGCCCAGACGTGGTATCATTCCCGAGTCGGTGCCAAGCGCTTGCTAGTTGTTAACGGCGGCGCTTTTGATCGCGGGACGGCGGCCTGAACCGTTTGATCGTTCGCTCCTTCTCCCGCACACGCTCGCGCGATGTGGAAATCACAAAACTAAGTCCGCACCACCCGTTTGTAAGGCGCGGTTGAAAGCCTCTCTTGAATTCCTGGGCTTCGCTTCGTAGGACCCTTGCTTTCAACCGTCGTGCGATTAGAATCGCGCGTCGGCGCTGGTGGTACGCCGAGCGGAACTGAATAGGCACTGCCGTCGCAGTGATTGACTTAGCCATGAAGAGCTCGCTGGTGAAAGCTGTGTGTGCGTCGTTCGGAGCAGCGGATCCTCTCAAGCGTCATTCCCGCGACAGTTCGGTCAGGGAACACCCAGACCACTGGTTCGGTCTTCACGCAGCTGCCAGAAAGACTTCGCCTGAAGAAAAATAAATCAGTATCGGTTGGAGAGAAATGGCTCCATTGTGCTGATCAATCATGAGTAGGCGTTGTTGGTAAGCCGTTCGACTGTCAACGAGGCAGAGGGAGCGCTGCACCTACATGACGACGCATCTCGGTTACTAAGCGGGCTTCAAAAAGCGGGCTTGCCCGCGAAGCATGATGTCAAAAAATTGTGTTCACCGAACTGCGTGTTCCCGTAGCGAGTAGTATCGGCTGGTCGGTGTTAAAAGTCGAGGATTGCGCTGCCCGCTCTTGTGACCACTCTTGGATTCGTGGGGCTGAAATTTCGAGAATAAGGATGGTGTTTGCTGAAAACTGGTGAACGGGAAACAGTTTTCACAGACTTCTTGCTATCTATGTGCTAGAAAATCTGTTTGATCGTGCTTGCCTTTTTACACCGCATGAAATTGCCAATATTGTTTGATATTTCGTCAGGGATTTGTGAAAATGTGGCCTCATGAAAATGTATGGGCAGTTAGATGCAGTTTTCAAAGAGCGGCCCTCGGGCATTACCTCTGGACTACAGATAATAAGCAGCGTGCCGTATCTGTGCTGTATCACGTTTTTGGACCTGTGCACGTATCTGTGCACAGGTCCAAAAACGTGATATGTTCTCTCACGCTAGAAGGATTGTTCTGGTCCACAGTACAAGAATGTTATACACCTAGAACGTGAAACTGTCCTTGGCAGCTTATGGAAATCATGTCTGGACAACCTTGTTACAGCAAGGCTCATTTCAATTTCTGGTCTTTAATAATACTATGGGGGGTTTAACATCCCAAAACTACAATATTATTATGACAAACTCTGTAGTGGAGGGCTCCGGGAATTTCGACCATCTGGTGTTCCTTAAAGTGCACTGACATCGCACAGCACACAGGCCTCTACCATTTCGCCTCCATCGAAATGCGACCACTGCGACCGGGATTCACCCCGTGACTATCGGGTCAGTACCCGAGCACCTTAACCTCTGCTCCACCGCAACAGACATCTCCGTTTTTTCTTCAGGCTGCGCGACAGTGTTGGTGTCGCTGTTCCATCCTTGTTTTATCACTGGTTAGCTCTTCCATCTTCTTAACACTTCTCTTTGGCAACGCAACGTTGGAGATGTTGCAGCATCCATTGGGCCAGGGCGTGCCACGTACAAGGCCTTATAAACTTCGGAAATCAAGAAGCTGATATTCAAGCAAATGTTTTCTTTCCCTGAAAACCCTAAAGTTACGGGACAAATGCTATCAAATATTTACGATGTATGTAGTCGCTGATATAGAGTGCTCATTCGGCGGATTCACCATTTTAGAAGCAACATGGCAGCATGAGTGCACATGTTCTGCATTGCTTGACTAATGTGGGAATTGAAACTATATGGTAAGTGTATCAAAAGACACATACATAGTGGCACTCGCTAATGGCTCTCTTCTTGTGCTTAGTCCCATTTCTTCATGCCTTGCACTATTGTTTCGTTGCATGTAGCCATCTGATGGTCTGCCTTCAACCTCTTTTTCCTTTTCTGGCAACTTTCCTCCTGCCTACTCGGCACCACCTCAATCACCTATGTTCCTTTTTGTCTCCATCTCTGGTGAGCGAGCGGTACCTGCAGTGAAGCTACTGATGCTCAGCTGACTTCGGCAGCTCAATCAATGTACACTATTCTTGTGCAGCCATAAATTAGAGAAATGCAGTGAGTGAGCCAATACCAAAATTAAGTTCTGATTGAAGCTACACGTTATGCTGCTGACATCTTGCGATTTGTCCCTACACAGTTATTTGCTGCACAAGCGATGAATTACATTCTTTTATTTCTTCCAAGCACTTTTGGTCAAGCACTTATTTCTTGTCTTCCAAATATTAAGAAAATTCTTTCTAAAAAATGAAGCAGGCATGAGATTGATGGTTGTGCTTCAGTGTAAGGGCTGGATGCATATGGCATTGGAGTAGGTTTACTAAAAATAAGAGCAAAGCAGCTGTGGGAATAATTAATGGAAATGGAATAATGAGTTCATTAAAGGATTTGAACCATCCTTTTGAGCTTCTGGGTTCATCATGCAACCTGGCAGAGGCACTCTCCGCTGCTGGGTTGTAAATATTGATACATAACAGCCGCTAAACGCGGCTGCATGAAAGATGAGGACGAAGTGAGCTTTTGATTGATGCTGGACTGGCGCCACTTTCCTCGTCGAGTTCTGTGCATTGTAAATAGATTATTAAAGAAGTTACTCGTAACATTATTGGTGGAGGTGGTTGACCCGCATACCTCGATAGAGACGCGCAGCGGTCGCAACATCGGCGACCCTTCGACTGCTTCGACTACTGGTACTTCCTCTACGCCGTCCTCATCAGTCCAAGCGACCACCTACGTCACACTCCCTCACCTCCGGGATCCTGGCACTTTCTCAGGTGATGATAGAATCGATCTTGACACTTGGCTGAAGCGGCACGAGCGCGTCAGTGCTACTCACCGCTGGGATCCCACGCTCATGCTCGCCAACGCGCTTTGCTACCCGGACGGCACTCCCCGAACATGGTTTGAAAGCCTCGAAGCCGTACATAACGAACTGGGATCTCTTCAAAGAAAAGATCTGCGACCTGTTTGGCGATTTATCTGGTCATCAGCTCACTGTGAAGAAGGCTCTTGCCACACGGGCTCAGTCTTCTACCGAATCTTGTGTCTCCTACATTTTTGACGTCTTGGCCCTTTGTTCCAAAGCCGACCAGTGCATGTCGGAAGATAAAAAAGTTAACCACGTCTTGAAAGGCATTGCCGACGATGCTTTCAACCTGCCGGTTTTTAACGTCTCGAGCATCGACACCATCCTTAAAGAATGCCGACGTCTCGAACAAGCAAAACCCCGCCGCGTAGCCCAAAGTATCGTGTTCTTTCGAACACAGCGGCTACATCTTCGTGTGACGACTTCCTTCCGCCAGGCCCCTCGATGCGACAACCTCACACGCATCATTCGTCGAGAGGTCGAGGCAGCACAACCAGTAGCCACGCCATTACCGACGCCTGCGCCTTCCCCGACCACGATCTCTTTGTTACAAGCCGTGGTTCGTCAAGAGGTGTCGAATGTCAGCCTATATCCTGTTCCTGCCGTATACTCTGCTGAGCCTTCGTAACGTCCCCCTTCTGCTCCTCGCATCCAACGCAATCCATTCAAATGGCGTACCCTTGATGACAGGCTCATATGTTTTAACTGTTGACGCGTTGGTCATATCACTCGTCACTGCCGCAACCGCTGGGCTCTGCCGTCACATTATGCACCTTAGTCTCACGCCACTTCTGTCCGCCAGTCGTCCCCATCACTTTCTTCCTCAATGCCGACCACATTTTCCGCTCCTGCAGCACCTCTGAGCAGACTTCGCTACGACCGGTCACTGTCCCCTGCTCGTCGTCACCTTCCGTCGCCCCCACAACACCGTGCTGCCTCCCCGACCTATTCGCAGCACCTCAGACTGGAAAACTAGGCTGTGCAGCTTCTAGGGGTGGAGCTGCGTTGACGACATTCGTAAGAAATTCTCGCTTAACGTTAACGATGAACCGGAATTTTTCGGACGTTACTGTCGACTATGCTCGTGTTGGCGCATTGATACTGGCGAACATGTGTCCATTATGAGTGCTAACCTTCGCCGCCGACTTAGACTTTAAAAATTTGTCACACCCGGCCTCAATCGAGCTGTACAAGTCGCTGATGGAGGAACTGCCGCAATTTTTGGCATCAGCTCTGCGCGAGTTTATATTGGGAAGAGAAGCACTGTCGTTCTTTTCGCTGTTATCCAACATTGCCCTCATGAACTCATTCTTGGTATGGATTTTCTAGCCACGCACTCTACCCTCATAGACTGTTCAGCTGGCTCTCTCCAACTTGATTTACCTCTCTTTTTCGACCCGACCAGCCCACTGCAAACCAGCCTCTGCTGCATTGATTTCACGCGCTTCCTGCCTAACTCTGTCACGCATGTCGACTTATCCTCCACGCTGCCAGTATCTGACGGTGATTACATGGTGGCCCCGATTCCTGCCGTGATGCTTTCGCATGGGTTTGCTGTGCCGCGTATGATTCTGACGATTACGAGAAACGGCACCTTCCTTCCACTGGTCAACTTCTCACTCACCACCCAAGTTCTGCCTCAGAGTATCTTACTGCTCTCCTATTACCGCTCTCCAAGACGACCATGTCGAGCCCTTCAGAGTTTATGATTGCTGCAGCTCAGTCAGTGGTTCCACTCCATCACGTTCTTGAGGCGC